GTTGAGGTTGATGGACGCGGATTTGCTGTTTCTTTTATCTTTTTCTCCCTCCTGTCTCGTGTATATAAATTTTGACTTTGGCTCCGGGTGATTTGCCCGTTTCTGTTTTTTTTGGAATCTGGACTTGGGTTTTTGGCTCACACTTGTCTTTGCGATGTCCATCTCCGATGCACTGTGTGTATGTTGCTGAATGAATGGACGTATGGATGCCATGTTTGGCTGCTTATCCTTCTACCGGATCCTTGCCTTTGCCTTTGTTTACTGCATTTGATGCACTCGTAAGTAGGATAGGAATTTTATGCAATCGGTAATCCTGTTCTCGTTTTTGCTTGTCTCTTGACTGGGCTGTTGTGGTTGTTGCATAGTGCATACTCGACAATTACGGAGCGATTAGACGATCGGATGTCTAGCCCCGCGAACACTGCACGAGGATGCGTGTAAACGCGATCTGAGTTGCGCACTTACACGCACCCTCGTACGTCGATTCGTCAATCCAGAAGCACCGTCTGACTGGACGCGGGCATCCAGGGTCCGCGACGAAACAGTCATCCCGTACGAACACGTGCGGGCGCGACTTGGTTCGTGTGGCCTGCACGTGCTCGCACGTGGCGATCTCAATCGGCACGGACCCGCCCTTAGGCTTCTCGTAGCTCCGCGATGACATGATGAAACGCTCTGAGTGCTCGGAGTCGTTGTCGTACGACCCGGACTACTTCACCCCCTGGGTGAACGAAATCCTCCGGCAGAGATACCCTTGCCTCACCGAGAACCGACTGTGTCCTAGGGAGTTTCACTGCGCCACCACTAGCGACCCCCGGTGCTCTGATTTCCCCACTCAGGACCATACCCACTACTTCACCCACCCAGGCTTTGTCGTTATCTCCACCAGCTTCCCTCTCTTTCGCCTTCTTCTTCTGTATCACCAACTCAGCGTCGTCCCGTGGAAGGCCATAGCTCCATACTGGCCCAGCACGCCTTGCGGAAATTGCCGATGACGCGGCGACCAGAAGACCCCGAACTTCCGGAGGCCTAACCCGAACGCGCGACGACCGGCGCCACGTGGCAACTCCCGACGGCCCGACTCATCGGAACCCCACCCACCCCGAAGGGACCTCCCCGCAAATCGTCGGCCTCGGAACCAATGGCACGCCCGTCCTTGAGCGACCCGTGCATACCATCTGCCTTGTGACCAGAGGTGGTCCGCCCTCTCCGCCAAATTGCACTCGTGCCCCCGAAAAACCCTGCCACAGGAGATCTGAGTTCTGACCCGGGACTCCAACCCCACTTTTCCAAAAATCCTTGGCACACCCCTTTTCGCACTTCCAGGCCCACATCCTACTCCGATCAGGAAGTCGCGCTGGGCGTGAGGTTGGTATCGGAGCCTGACACGTGGCCAGGTCTTAGGAACAATAGCACGCTAATTGGGCGATCTGGCTAACCGAGGGCGACCTCGACCCCGGAACGCGCATAGATGCGACCCCGTCATCACACGAAGTAGATCGGCTAACCGACGGGCAGCCAACATGAACGCTAATGCACAGAATCCGAACCCGCAACAGAATGTTAATCAACCAAATCCTAATCAACCCGCCGCACGAGCACGGGCTCCCATGACTCCGCCTGATCTCTATCTGTTCGACCCTGCACATCATCTTGCAGGAGCATGGTTGGCCACGCTCCGAGTACAGCAGTATGACGATAACGAAGCTCAGGTAAACATTCCTGCTCGATTAGGGGGAGATGCTCATCAGTGGTTTAGTACCTATGTATGGGTAGATCTTCCGACCTTCGAGCGGGATTTTTTGAATCGATTTGATTATGTCCATCCAGAGCAAGCACTTTACATGATCAAGGACCGGGTGCAGAAACCTCTCGAGTCCATCGCAGAGTATTGAAACCGGTTCTACCGAATGTTTGTGAAAACTGAGCGAGGCGAACAAGTCGGGAGAGATTTGTTTATTGACGGGCTTCACAGCAGAACGATAAGGGCAAAGCTGCGAAAGCAGTTCTCCCCCATCAATCATACATTGCAACAGATTATGGCCGCAGCAGAAGAAATGGAACGTAAGTTCGCGGCGAGTTTCCTGGAAGGAGAAAACTATTCTAGGGAAGGGGATTCATCCGAACTTGCGAGGGCGAGAGCTGAGCTGGCCACATTACAGAACAAATTCGAAAATATGGGATTTGTGTCTGGTCCCGTCACCTATCTGAAACAGATAGGCCCTAAACGACCGACCCCGAGTGAGATCCCGAGTGTCCCTATTCCTGTGATTCCAACACCTGTAAGAACGGCACCACCGCCACTGATTGAAAGCCCGGTAAGAACAAATGAGTCTACTGCTATTTTTGAGCTGACCAAAACGTTAATTAGCCTAATCCAGGAAAGCAAAAAGGAACAGCGGGAGCATAACGCTCGGCTGGAGGCTATGATAAGGAACATGCGACCCATCGCGGTGCATGCCTCTCCAATCCAACAAGGGCTAGTAGCCCCGGCGCCCGCTCTCGGAGGAGCCGCAGGCAATCTGAACGTCTGTTATGCATGCCATCAACCAGGGCATCAGCCCGTGACTGCCCCCACCGGCCCCCACAATAACGGGTCGGAGTTGCACCAATGGTCGCAACCCCTATCGCTAACGGGCTAGGACAGGTAGGAGCCCTGATGGAAGAAATGGAAGGTGGGGGAAGTGCGTTAGCAACCACGGAGGAGGCTGCTGAGCTCATCCCATTAGATCAGTATGTATCACTTGGTTATCCCGGGCTCGGCATGATCGGAACGATCAGACTAGCGCCCAAACAGAAAGAATTGGCGGAGTGGCGATGCTCTCCAGGAGAGATGGAGTCGGGAGGACCCACCTTCGTGATGGGGGAAATCAACGTGCTAAACATCATCCGAGCTTTGGATCATCGGATTCCACTTCCGATCGACCATCTGCTCTCGATCTCCGAACAGGCTAATGAGCGGATGCTACATCACTGTAAGGCGAACCGAAAATGATTCGCCCTCGCCCGAACCACGAATGTAAAGGCTAAAAGCCCCACGCCAGATGAAAACACGGCTGGCACGACGGATCCAATATGGGTAGGACTAATACAGAAAGACGACCATTTCTTGCGGATTAAACCCATCCCGTGGAAATCTGCGGAATGCGATATTGAAATATGGGGAATTCCGTACAATGCAATCATTGACTCGGAAGCTGCTGTTTTGGCTATCTCGCTGAGAGTAGTTGAGAGGGAAGGTAGGAGAAACGATCTGATCATGCTTACAGAGAAGGATCAGCTCGTTTCGGCAGACGAAGAAAAAATTAAAACGGTGGGAAGAATGACCAATGTCGCTTTCCGATTGGGAAAGGTGCATGCGTTAGGTGACGTCGTGGTGTTAGATGTAAATACCTACGACGTTCTTTTCGGACTTCCCACTCTTGTGGCATTACGAGCGAACCTGGATTTTGAGCGACGGTCAATCATCCTCCGAAATACGGGAGGAAAGCCCTATGTTGTACCTATAAGACTAACTCTTCGTACCACCATCAACGTAGTCCTGCGAGTTTCGTCGATGATAGCAGGGACTCTTCGTATGATCACCTGGGAAGACTTCGCAGACGATGAGTCATCATCGAGGGATACGGATAGCAGTGACGAAAATGATCCAGAAATTCTGAAGCTAGCACGACATCGTATTTATTACCCGCCGCCCAGAACGATCGCAAGAACGATGCATCGAACCAGTCGGAACATCTAAAGGACCAAGGCGATGATTTTGTGTGAACCCCTCGTACAGATTTCGAGGATGGCCGATTCCTTGGAACCCCCTCAAACCCTGTACGAAGGAATCTGCCCTCTCCTCGCCCGATACAACGACAAAAAACACTACTGCGATATCACAGATCTACCAAAGTCCCTATTGACACCTGCAAAAGAAGTACGATTGTTACGCCTGGGGGCGGAAGCCAGTTCTTTGGAACCCCCTGGGCGTCTTGAGGCTGAATCAGATGAACTCGTAGTAAAGATTGCAACTAAAACCGTATCGTGGTAGGATATCTGCGATGGGATCACCCCGGAAGGACACGTGGCCATCCGGGAGGAAGACGCCCAGATGATGGCCACGGTGTTCTCCCGGCGATCGGACCATTCGTTTATCTCTGCGCCACCACCCGATGTGGCGAAACAAGCACGCACAAAGCAAATCGACGTACGGATCTGGGATCAACTTTTTGAGTTACACATTCCACAGTGCGTACCTGATGAGATTCACCGGGTAATTGCGGATATTCTCACGGAATATCAGGGAGCGATTAGCATAACCGGTACTGACATTGGCTTGTCGTTAGTTATTCAACATGAAATTCAGACGGTAAATCATTCCCGAATCCACCGCAAGCCCTACCGATACTCCCTAATAGAACGGAAAAAGGCTCTCGAACGAATTCGGGAATTCGAAGCAAGCGGGTGGATCGAACCCGCCACCGGGCCATGGTCATTTCCCGTAGTGTTAGTACCGAAGAAAAACGGATCAATTCGCATATGCATCGATTATCGCAAGCTGAATGAAATCACAATTAAAGATGTGTATCACCTCCCCCGAATTGATGATTTGTTGGATGCGATTGGATGCGCTAATTATTTTAGTAAGTTTGATATTCGGCATGGCTTCCATCACATTCTGGTCAAGGAGGAAGATAGGCCGAAGACGGCTTTCGCGCTGTTTGAGGGCACGTGGCAGTGGGTTCGGTGTCCGATGGGGATTTGCAACGCGCCTGCCACGTTTCAGCGATGAACATGATATTCCAAAACTTCGTCAACAAGACACGGCTAACTCAGGGAATGATCAACTTTTGCGTGATCGTATACATGGATGATATCCTTGTCTACTTGGAGACCTATCACGGGCATGCGCAACACATTGAGTGGACATTGGGAGCGCTGAGGGATGCTGGATTCAAGATCGCACTCGAAAAGAGCGAATTTTTCCTCTCGGAAATTTCGTTCCTAGGTTATGTTGTGACACGTGGAGGATTGCGGCCTGACTCGAGAAAGGTCGCGGCGGTGAAAGAAGCTCTGGTTCCCACGTCGCTGATGCAGGTTCGAGCCTTCTTGGGGTTGGCATCGTACTATCGCCGTTTCATCAAAGGCTTCGCCGCGATTGCACAGCCACTAACGGACCTGTTACGAAAGGACCATCCTCTCAGTTGGGACGCAGAGTGTGAGCAGGCCTTTGCGACCCTCAAAGACGCTCTGGCGACGACACCTATTTTGATCCGACCGGACCCCTCGAAACAGTTCATTCTTATCACGGACTGGCAACCGGAAGCTATTTTCGCTATTCTAGCGCAAAAGCAGAACGATGGTCGCGAACACGTCATCGAGTACGCGTCGCGAACGGTGCCAGACGAACGGAGGAATGACTCAGCGCCCCAAGGTGAATGCTATGCAGTAGTCTGGGGAATCCAGCACTTCCATCCGTAGCTCTATGGGCAGAAGTTCCGCCTCGTGACGGATCATGAGCCTTTGCTGTCTTTGAAGAAACTCACTAATTACACGGGCATGATTGGACGTTGGGCGGTACGACTACATGAGTGCGACTTCGACATCATCCACCGGAAGACAGAAAAATACGGCAACGCGGACGGACTGACACGTCTGCATCGGCCCGCTTAAGTACCCAAAGGCGAGGAAATCACTCCGTGGAAGGAGTCAGAACCGACAAACGGGCCTAAGTACGGACAAGTGGTAGTTCTCCCACGTGGCAAAAAGCAGACCGGTGGCAATGGGTGACGAAGGTAACCTCACCACCCCTCTTTCTCCCATCTCCTCTTCGTCTATTCTCTCCCTGCCTGGTAAATTTTGCGATTTTTTTGAAGCAATTTCTCGCGTATACTCTGTCTCCATGTGTCCTAACGGGGAAGGGTATGTGGAATGGATAGACTGCCGACAGTGTGTCGCACGAGCCCATGGCTCGTGCATCCAATACCGAAATGACAGTACCGAAATGACAGTAAACCATGGTTATGCCCCTTGTGTCGGGTTGACAAGATCCCGACCGAGGCTCGCTTTCTGGATGCCACGTCAGAAGGGTTGGAAAAGACCCGGAAATTTCGAAGGGCCGAAGTATGGACCGACATCGCTTTGATTGCCACCTTAGTGGGTAACCCCCTCCAGGGTTTCACCAAGGAAGATCGGAGGAGGGCTAACGAAAGGGCTCGGGATTATCGATGGATAGAGGGTAGGTTAAAAAAACGGAAAAGGACGACATTGGGATTTGGATGGTTGTACCGCATCCGTTCATGAGGTATGACTGAGTGAAAACGGCACATGAGGAAACGACAGCCCATTTTGCGGTACGGATTACAGAGTCAACAATCGATAAAAATGACTGGTATTGGTCTAATATTCGGGACGATGTGAAATTCATCGTCACAAACTGTCAAGTCTGCGCTGCTGACAAGGCGCCGATCCAGCCACCAAGATCGATAGTACCAACGGTAGTTGAGCGGTCGTTCCAAAGGGTGAGTATGGATACTACCGATATCGTGGTACCCCCTGGTCCTAATAGTTGTGAATATTCAGTCCTGTTGGTATTCGTCGACCATTTTTCGAAATGGATCGAGGCCTACCCCTGTCGCACGCGACAAGCCGCCGAAATCGCGCGGTATGTTAACCGTTTTCTCGGGATGCACCAGGATACGGAAGAGATCCTAACCGATAACGGGGCAAAATTCAGAGGGGAAGTGTTAAGGAACCTGGTCATACACGGTGTCGCTGTGCGGAACACCGCGCCCTATATGTTGCAATCCAATGGGCTGGTAGAAAACGCCAACAGGGTGATAAAGACAGCGCTGCGACGAGACATCGGGGCATGGGATCCGAGGCCCTGGCCTGATATCATCGACCACATCCTCGCAGTCCAGCGAGGAACGCCCCATGAATCGACGGGCCTGAGCCCCTTCCAATTAAGGACTAATAGCGTCGCTTGCATTTCGATACCAAGCCTCCCTAACGAATCAACGCTCAACCGCCGGCCCACAAGGGCCACAACACGAGACAAAGCCAAGCGGCACTTAGAGTTAATGGAACGGTCCCTCCCCAGGCTAGCCCGAAACGCCAGAAAATGACCGAATTGGCCCACGGCCGACAGGTCCGAAGCTACGAGGCCCGGAACGGGAACGCAGGTCCACGGCCTCAATACAAATTGGGGAACATCGTGCAGGTGAGGAAATGTGCTCGCCAGGGTAAGCTAGCGCCACGATTCTTCGGGCGATTCCGCGTGATTGAGCTTGGACCGAACGGCGTGAACATCGTGCGGCTTGCGCCTGAGGTCTCCGGCAGCCGATCGGCTCACCAGATCATCCGCCACGTGTCCTACCTTCGTCCCCTTCCTCCTTCCCCATCTTCGCCTTCATCCAATTCCTCCTCCGTTGCTAAAGAGGACGACGACGGCTTATCGCCTGTCTCTCCGTCTCCTTCTCGTTCTCCTTCTATTACTCCGTCCCCATCGCCATCGCCATGAGTTTTCTTACGGAGCGAGCTCTCGGCAATCCTCTGCTGGTGCCACGGTGCTACATCTCGGCGATTCGACAAGTTCACCATCCGCGGCTCAACCCGGATCTTCGGCGACTTGCGCAGTTCTTCTCTACCCAGGGAGTGTACGCAGCTGCTGAGTTTCGCTTTGCAGGTAGTCCCCGGGCGGTTGTTTTAGCAGAGGTGGTAGCAGTTCATCGGCGATCGGCTCCTGGAATCAGGCACGTGTCTACGGTGGTCGCCTTCAGTGGCGACATCAGCACCATCAGCCCACTGCGACATACAGCTATCAAGACGTCACTCCGGCTGTGGGCGCAGCAGTTGGCGACGGAGTGGAATCGTTGGCTCACGCCCCATGGAGATAACCTTTTTCCCACGGACGACGACGACCTCGACGGGATCCGAACCTTCCAGCACGAGCCGGCGATGGTGCTCTTAGAACTCGTCCCCTTCCCCCATCCTCAATGAACCCATCCCCGATCTCCACTTTCGACCTCCCCTCCTTCTTTCCCACTTTGCAATCCGGAGTCCATCCGCACCTTTCCTTTTGTCTGGAATCACTCGCTGTCCCCATCCTCGATCCCCAACAATGGAGACGTTGGCGAGAGCACTTCGTAGAGTTGTCGGTGTGTCTGGTCGGAGTAAGGGTCACGTGGACGCGGCACGGGGATCACCGCCAATGGGCCGAGTACCTCGAGCTGCTTATCATCCAGGCGCGGCAAACGGAAGGGGAGGGCGATTTGCTCGGATTCCTCTTTGGATCGGTGCGGCCCGATCGTCGAGATCGTCTCGCAGAGCGACGAAAGCCCAGTCCCGCACGTTCTCACGCGGACCTTGGTGCCATATCTTCAGTGGTCGGCGTGCTTGGAGGAACCGGGAAGCGGCCGCAACCCACCATCACAGCGCGGTTATCTGGACTCGCACGAGATAATCGACCTCGCCTTCTTTCAAGATCGAACAGCTTCCGAGAACGAGGAGGTAGAGATTGAAGCGGAAGAAGAAAGCTCGGAAGAAGAGGAAGAAGCCGAAGAAGAGGCCAATGAGGAAGAAACTTTCGAAGAGGGGAGTTACAGTGAGCACAACGAAGGGGAGCAAAGTGAGGAGGACGAGGTGGAAGAACAAGATGACGAGGAGGAAGAAGAAAGAGACCAGGAGGAGTTAGAAGAATCGGAATGGGAGGGATTTGAGGAGGAAGTGCGTGACGAGGCTCGGGCGCAGGCTCAGGCGCAGAAGAGGGAAGAAATCGCGGTCGGGAAGAGACAGTTGGAATTCGCCAGCGCAGCTGACCAGCCGCTCGCCAACGATCCGGCCCGGGATCCAGAGCCACCTAAGCCCGAGGATGGAGAGACAGCTGCCGAGACTTCGGCCGCACCAGCAAGACGGCGACGGAGTCGATCCCCCTCCCCCTCCGCCTCCGACCGCCCACCAACTCATCAACGTACCGATGCGGGGCATCGGGCTTCGTCCCCGGTCGTTATCCCGCCGTCCCCTTGACCAGCTCTCTTTCCGCCAGATTTCTACTCGCGTCACCTTCCCCGACAATCCCTTCCCCATCGATACCTTCCGCTTTTTCTACACCACCCGTCTCGCTGTCACTGTTCATCCCCACCCTTCCACCCGATGCGCCCTTCCTGTCTTTTGCCTCCATATCCTTTTCCTTAGTGCCGCGTGGTGTGGCCACAACATGATCGAGGTATACTTCATGATTATGGGGACTATCCCCGCATGCGAGAACCACAATCACTTCCACGCGGCCCTTTTCCGAACCTTTACCACCCTCTACCCCGACTACCTCATGTCTCTCCCCCACAGAGGCAACCGATTCCCCCGCTTTCACCGGATCGTCCGCTAACTGGAACTTCCGGAGACAGTGGCCGGAATGGAGAGCTTCCTTCCCCCGCTACCCATCAACACTCCCCCCCGCCACCCCTCCATGTACCATCTCCCTTTCCCCTCCCCGGCGCTCGCTGATGCATGACTAATGGGCACGCGTCATGATGGCGACACGTGTAATCCCCTTCTTGGATTGTCAAAGGCCCTCCCTGAGGAATCAGTAGTAGAGCTGCGTTGCCACGTTGGACGACGTCCACACTCTTTCAAACGGTAAGTGGCATAGAGAGAAGAGCTCCGCGTGTCGGTCGATTAGAGAAACCGACACGTGTCAACAAGCAAGCAGGAGCTTGCTAATATTGGGACCCCCTGGGCGTCACATATGTGACGAACCACTTTCTGTAGCGCGCGACTTTCTGCGCAGTTGCAATGAGGGGTCCTAAGCTGGGAAGGTTGGGCTAATTACGGGAGATTGGGATGAATGGGAAATTGCATCAGTACCCTCGCTTCTTCGTCTTTTGCATCGATTCTTTTCGGATGGCCAATTGGAGTTGGGTGTGTCCCGGGACGGGTGATTGATTGGTCGGATGGCTGGCGCGCCGCCAAGCGAGCGATTAATAAATGTTGACAACGTTTCTTTTTTTTCGGTTTCAGAACTTTTTGGGGAGCGGACATCGCGCGGGAATTTGCTTCGTTCTTTTTTGAATTTTCTTTTTGAATTCTTTTTCGAATTTTGTCGAGCCCCGATGGCTCTCGGAATTTCGAACTTTCCTTCCGGAACCTGTACTTTTGCTTTTTCGCATTAGTTAGGAATTTAGGAATTTTCTAATTAGGACTTTCTTTTGCTGCGCAACGCCTTTTTGCTTACGCGCTTCTTCGTGCGGCTGCAACGGAATTCTGATTAGCCGGAGCCTTTAATCGGGTGTGTAACTGTAATTTTGGGTTGGCGCCATTGTAACTGTATCTTTTTTCTTGAGCTTCGTCTTTCCCGCCCTTCTTCTCTTTCTGCTGCTGCGTTTTTGTAGCCACGGTCTGCATGATCGGATCAATGCGTGGAGAGTGGCTACGTTCCCCACGCCGCGGCCTGGTCATGCAGAACGCATGCGCTCCTTCTCTAATCTTCTTTCCAAATCCTTGTAATTATGTGTTCTTTGCGCATGCATGCACACTATAAATTCCAGCTGCGCGATTAGTTAGCTCTCTTAACCAGCTGTTGGAAGCTCGGGGTTGCAAGATCAGAGAGGGTCGGCACACGAGCGAAGTAAGAGGCAAGTAGAGCAGGAGTCGGGCGACCCGATGAGCTGGTGCCAAACGCGCGGGGTTGATGCGGGCCACGACGGACTGTGGGCGCGAGCGAACCTGATGGGTGCGGGAGGACTAAGCGGGGTGACGGCTTTATGGGTTGGTGCGTGACGACGGACTGTCCGCATCGGAAAGAGAGAGAGAGAGAGAGGAAGAGGGAGTTGAGGTTGATGGACGCGGATTTGCTGTTTCTTTTATCTTTTTTTCCCTCCTGTCTCGTGTATATAAATTTTGATTTCGGCTCCGGGTGATTTGCCTGTTTCTGTTTTTTTTTAAATCTGGACTTGGGTTTTTGGCTCACACTTGTCTTTGCGATGTCCATCTCTGATGCACTGTGTGTATGTTGCTGAATGAATGGATGTATGGATGCCATGTTTGGCTGCTTATCCTTCTACCGAATCCTTGCCTTTGCCTTTGTTTATTGCATTTGATGCACTCGTAAGTAGGATATGAATTTTGCGCAATCGGTAATCCTGTTCTCGTTTTTGCTTGTCTCTTGACTGGGTTGTTGTGGTTGTTGCATCTTGCATACTCGACAATTACGGAGCGATTAGATGATCGGATGTCTGGCCCTGCGAACACCGCACGAGGACGCTCGTAAACGCGATCTGAGTTGCGCACTTACACGCACCCCCGTACGCCGATTCGTCAATCCAGAAGCACCGTCTGACTGGACGCGGGCATCTAGGGTCCGCGATGGAACAGTCATCCCGTACGAACACGTGCGGGCGCGACTTGGTTCGCGTGGCCTGCACGTGCTCACACGTGGCGATCGCAATCGGCACGGACCTGCCCTTAGGCATCTCGTAGCTCCGCGATGACATGATGAAACGTTCAAAGAGCTCGGAGTCGTTGTCGTACGACCCAGACTACTTCACCCCCTAGGTGAACGAAATCCTCTGACAGAGATACCTTGGCCTCACCGAGAACCGACTGTGTCCTAGGGAATTTCACTGCGCCACCACTAGCGACCCCCGGTGCTCTGATTTCCCCACTCAGGACCGTACCCACTACTTCACCCACCCAGGCTTTGTCGTTATCTCCACCAGCTTCCCTCCCTTTCGCCTTCTTCTTCCGTATCACCAACTCAGCGTCGTCCCGTGGAAGGCCATAGCCCCATACTGGCCCAGCACGCCTTGCGGAAATTGCCGACGACGTGGCGACCAGAGGACCCCGGACTTCCAGAGGCCTAACCCGAACGCGCAACGACTGGCGCCACGTGGCAACTCCCGACGGCCCGACTCATCGGAACCCCACCCACCCCGAAGGGACCTCCCCGCAAATCGCCGTCCTCGGAACCAATGGCTCGCCCGACCTTGAGCGACCCGCGCATACCATCTGCCTTGTGACCAGAGGCGGTCCGCCCTCTCCGCCAAATTGCACTCGTGCCCCCAAAAAACTCTGCCACAGGAGATCTCAGTTCTGACCTGGGACTCCACCCCCACTTTCCCAAAAATCCTTGGCACACCTCTTTTCGCGCTGGGCGTGAGGTTTGGGCGTCACAGCTCCGCGTGAGACAAACCAGCCTGCTGCGACCGGTCCTGTGCCGGTCACTTATACTCTCGCTGCTCCTGGTTCCAGTGGTGGCCGGTCCTCCGAGGGGCTTCTTCCCGCAGGGTGAGTTCCGCTGAAACCTCCTTCGCCGATCTTGGTTTCACTAGCTCGCAACCGTAGATCTTGAAAATTAAGCAATCCAATCTTTTAGAAAAGTAGGCTTTACTTCGAAACTGAAGATCCACGGCGTAAAAAACCTCTGAGGGGCAGTTGGATGAAATGACCGGTAGGTCCCATTGTCTTGACAAAAAACCAAGTGATGTTTGAATCGGAACCCACCGAGTAGGTACCAACTGCATGGGCTGGAGTAGGACAGTTGCGTCGCTGGATCTCACCCCGACACCTACAATTATTTATTCTGCTACTTTCCACGTTGTTTGTTGAGGATTCCCGGCCTCTCCATTGGTGTGCGTAATCCAATGAGCTGAGCTTTCCTTGTAAGAAAAAAAGAAAAAAAAGCAAAAGAAAAGAAAAGGGAAAAACGAAAACCAAAGCCACGCTGAAAATGAAACCAACCCTCAAAAGACCCATCCATACAACCTACAGGTCTCCCGAGGCTGGCACTCCAAATTCCAGATGCCGCCCATGTATTCGGGTCGCCCCCCTGTTGCCCACAACAGAAGTCCCTCTTTACTAATCCCACCACCTTCCTGACGACCACTATACATGCCAACTACTGGTAGACGGCCGGCCAACGACCATTGAAGTTCACGACACAAAACGAAAAAGGCATGGGTGGCAAGGGCAGCCCCTGCAGGCTGGGAACTGCTCAGGGCAGACAGCTCTTCCCTTACCTCTTCAACCCATCCATTCGACAGTGGTATCGAGTACCCCCAGAGGGGAAAGGATCGACCTCCTCGCACCCGCAATAAGACGTTTCCTACCGTAATTTCAAATCTTGTTCTTCTTTTATCCTACCTTAGACCGTGCAGCGACCCCCTATTCCTTCCTGCCAGACCCTAGCAGGTGTTTTATCATCCGATCCGAACGCGAGGTCCGAAGGCGCGTGTTGAAGGCTTGGTCGACGAAGATGACGGTGGTGGGGAGGGTGTTTCCTCTCGCGACGTGGACGGTTATATGCTACGTCTGTGCCTTACACTTGAGGTGCTCGAGGGGAACAGTTCTCGACCGTGTCGTCAGTGGCTTTGGCCGTGCAGATAACGGCGCCAACGGCGTGTCTACTCGAACAGCTTATGATGAATCCGTGCCGTCGCGATCAATCAGGGGAGCGGACATGCCTCTTGGAGGTAAGAACTGGCCTCCGGCAACACTTAAAAAGAAAAAGAAGAAAAAGTGGAAAGAGGGCAAACGCGATATTTTTGTGCGTCGGAACCTGGACGACATGAATGTCAGTATTCTTCATGGACGCAACACGGTTCCGACCCAGCGCATGTGGCTGAACAGTGCACCAATCAAACCCTGAGTGACGTACCCCTGTGCTCGAGTCCAATCACGTCAATTAGCTGGGTCAAGTCATTTCGAACCATTTTGCTCAGCGGACGTGCCGTTGCAGGTGAGAAACGGCCTCTGGCAACACGGCCTCGCTCCGCCACTCATCACCAAATGCGCAACCTTCCATTCGTCCCAAGGGAAAAAAAAAAAAAAGAGATATTGAACCTTCCCTTAGCGGAAAAAAAAAGAAGAAGATACACGGCCATATTCTTCGTTCTTTGTCGTTTGTGCGCGTCGTTTTTGTCTTTTGTGCATGTCGTGCGTACTGGAGTGAGGCCCAAACTGGATATTTTTGTGGGTTTCTGGACGGCAGGCGAAACGCGTTTTCGACCCCGCCCATGTTGCTGAATGGTGTAGAGACCAAATCCTGATTAACAGAACTGGGCTCAAGTCCGCCGCAATCACGTCAATTTATGCGTGTCATCCCTGCGCAGGGGCCGTGCTAATCGTCTCTCTATAAAAATAAATAAATAAATAAATAAATCGTCTCTCTATCGTTCCAATTTTAACGGATTTTCCGAAGGGCTGGTTGTGGTCATTTTCGATGATATCACTCCAGCCTATCCCCTTCTCTCACGTCCACTCCGTGTACCCACGCCGCTGTCCCCTCGACCTCTCCCTTCAACCAACGCTCCACTCCTCTCATCTCCTCACGGTATCTTCAGGGGGTAAAGAGTCCAGTCCCCTTCCCGCCATTTTTCTCCATCTTGGCCTCCCTGCCTCCCACGTGTACGTTCGTCTACTGTGCTTTGTGAAGGGGGCATGATCGGCTTCCCCCCCTCCCTTGTATTTATCTATATACTTCTCTCAAATTCACCTTTTGACTACCTACTCTACCACTGACCCTTAGCCTATGCATAGCTGCCTCTCACTTTTTTTTTTAATTTTTTATTTTAAACTACACTATATTCTTCTCTCAAATCTTTCATCATCTTTCAAATTCTTTTAATTCACCTTCACTACCAACCAACCACTAATCCTATGGCTTATACAGGGGACCCCTCCGAACATAGCTTCTTTGTCTCCCTCCAGCCATCAGAGGGAATGCATGTTGCCCCCCGCCCCAACCATGGTGGTCAAGGATGGGGTGGGGCCGCCAGTGGGGGTCCAGCTACTGCAAAGACCAAGCATTTTGCCAGTAGCTGCGCCTCCTTTTTCGTTGTCCCCCACCCCCAACGGAATAACAGCAGTGTTCAGTTGGGGACGATGAAAAGGGAGGCACACCTCTCACTTTTTCCCCCCTTCTACTAAGCTATGTTTGTCTCTCAAATTCACCTTTTCACTAGCTACCCTACCACTACTAAGCTGATACAGGGGGCTCCTGCAAGCATAGCTGTCTCTCACAATCAAGGGGATGGTTGTTGGCCCCCACCCTAATCCGTGGTGGTCAGGGAGTAGGATGTCTGCTGCTGAATCCTGGACTTTTTTGGGGGGGAGAAGGAAAAACACAACTCTTTTGGTGGGGAGCAGCACCTGCTGGAAACCGGGTCCAGCGTCCCATAGATACAACCATATCCTCACAAATTGGCACAAACTGGGAACCGGGCCCAGCGTCCCATAACGAGTACATTCAGAAAACTTCATCAGAAAATTTCATGAAAATGAGACAAGGAACTACTAGAAAAATCTAATTGGCCGAAGATGGAAGTTTAGAAATTAGGATACCGGGACCATTACCCGGCTTTGGCTCGAAGAAATTTGGAGCTACTTCAGACATGTCTATGACAACTTCATGATTAAACAGAATTCAGAAATGACTCAGAAACAACCCCATCAGTCCACTTTACCCCACTCCGGCAAGACTGACTGCATCGGAGCCACCATCTCTGCTGCTGCTATGCCATACTCCCATCCTGCCAGCTAGCCCCCTCACTGGTAGGATGCGTGATAACCCGCCATCTTCTCCCACACACCTTATTTTCTTCTTGAAATACCTAAGAACTCCTACCATCTTCCGGACCCCTCCCCTCACCTTGTTTCTTTTGAATCAAGATGTGTCTTGCTCGGCCCCAAAAAACCCCTCTCTATTTTTTTGATTAAAAGTGCCTCGCTGAGACCTGTATTTTTGTCAGCACTGGTGATTCTTGAAATTCCGTTTTTGTAATTTGGAAATGCATGGGAATTACGCGCGCCTTAGCGAGCGCGCTCGGAATTTGGCTTGACGGTTAGGAATTCCAGAATTAACCGAACTCAACGTGTCCTTTCACGCATGACTGTTCTCGGCCACGACGTGAAAAACTCTGGGAATTTTGTAGGAATATGGACAGACGTAGGACTTTCTTTCTTTTCCCGCGCCTACTTTGCACGCAGATATGGTGATTTCAATTTTTGAATTAGCATAAGACTTGGAAAAACTGCAATTGTTTCGGTGCCCATTTTTTGTGTGTCCGGCGACATGCATACGAGCTCCCTCCTCCTTCCTTCGCGCGCTCCTCTCGACGCCCTCCTTCGCGCGCCCATGCTCTCTTTCTCTCCCTCTGTAACTGTTTTTCTCTCTCCTTCCCCGCGCGCGCCCTTTTTCTCTTTCTTGATCATCTGAATCTTGGACCCGTTTCGCGCTATCCTTCGCACCCTTCTTCTTCCCGCTCTAAATCTTGCGTTCGAAAACCCGGTCGATCCCCTCTTTACCCCATCTAGCCAAGGAGAAGCGCCGTGTAAGAGGAAATCCCTACTACGCGACGATTCTGATTGGTCGAGATCGGACTATGAGGGATCAACATGGTTTTCGACGGGCGATTACCCCCAAGCCCTCCCTCGCCCTCCTCTCCCCTATTCTTCATCTTTCTCCGCATCTATCTCCCTTCTCGCAACTATAAATCCCGCAAGCGTGTCCGCAAATCTCTCTCTCAACTCGTCAGCCAGATTCCGGGAAGCAGTGGCTAGATGGTGTGTATGCAGTGCGAATCGAAAAGTCCCGACGGGTTGACTGTAGACTGGCTGCGAATGCGCCTCCTTGTCTCGAATCTATTCTTTGGAGTGAGTGCAGCTCCACGACAGTTAAGTCGAAACTTCTTTTCATCTTCGGACTTCTGTGTCCTTTTCATCTATTTCATTCATTTCGCACTTCTTCTCCCCACCTACCTTATGATATGAATGACTATGTATGCTTGTCATGAAATGGTTGCCTGATGGGCCAACATTTTAATTAGCCATGGGATGACGGGGCAGGGGTGCAGAGCACACAAAGAACTTAATGGTGCATGGCTGTCATTTTCGCACTTTCCGCGATGAGTAACCACGAATGTAGATTGTCATTTGATGGACTGGTCTTTGATTAGGCCGAAGAGTTGTTGTGAATGGAATGCAGGAGAACGGTTGAGTTATTGGCAAGGGCAGTGATTTTGGGATTTTATTCGAGAATGCAAGATGGTTTAGATCTGTCGATGATGGGATTACGGGAAAGTACCCTGGGATCTTCAATTCGGAATACACTACGCATACCATCTGCAGGTTGCCCTCGATACGCAAAACCCGAAAGACGATCTATTTTCTCAGAAGGAAGAAGGGTGCCACGTGCGACCTGCATGCGTGGACCACTGGTTGTGCCCCACCTGATGTGAGTACTGTCCCCACGGTTTCCTTATGAAAACTTCTTGGCGAGACTATCAGATCATTACAAATGCTCTCTCTCTCTCTCTCTCTCTCTCTCTCTCTCTCTCTCTCTCTCTCTCTCTCTCTCTCTCT